AAACTTTTCTTATCTAAATGTATCTATCTTTGAGAATATTTCTATATCTCCATGTTTATCAGGTTTTTTTTTTCTTCTGTAACGTGTGATCTTCCATAAATCCCACCCAGCAGAGTTTTCATCTCAAAATATTGTTTTCTCTTCTGGAAATTTGATTTGGGCCTTTTTGAAATCCTCCATTTCTCTTCTTAGCTTTTTGAACACATGGAGCACAGTTATGATAATGTTTTTAATCATCTTATCTGCTATCTGTACATTTTTATCAATTGTGGAGGAGTTCTGATCGCCTTTTGTCTGCATCATAAAACACATTTTCTTGCTTCTCTTGATGTCTGGTAATTTTTGTCTCAGTGCTAGACATAGTTATTTTTCTTATTGGGTATGGGGACATGTTTGCCATCCTATTCTTGAGCTTTTCTGGGAGAGGCGGTAAGTTACTTGAAAGCAATTTGATTCTGAGCCATTTGAGTTTTGCTTTGTATATATCTTAGGAGAGACCAGAGCTGTGCTTTGTCCAGCCCCGATATTTCCCCCAGCTGGGCAAACCCCTTGTGCAACCTCTCCAATGGGCTGTGCTTCTGAGGCCTTTCTGACTAGTGGGAAAAGGCACCATTCCAGGCCTGGGTGAGCTGTGGGCACTGTTTCTCTCAATCCTTCCAGATGGTTCCCTCCCTGGGAGTAACTACCTTGGCCTCAGGTGGTTTTTCCCATAGGCATGTGCTGATCAATATTCTATTGAATGCTGCAGGATTACCCTGGGAAGATCAGGACAGATCAGTGGAGTTCTCATTCCAACTCTCTCATCTCAGAGACTCACTCCAGTGGCCTGCATAGCCCCTTCGGTCTTCCTGAGGCCTCAGCTCTGCCTCCTCCGCTCAGGGAGTCACCAGGTTCTTCTCGGTTTCCTCCCGTCTGGGCTGTGGCCTGGAACCCCCTCAAAGCAGCACCTTTGGGCCATTGTGGGGCTCAGTGTTTTTTGCTTTACTCTGTCATGGGTCACTGTCCTTTGTTGCTCCATGTCCAGTGTCTCAAAAGCCATTTTAAATAGATTCCATCCCTCTTTTGGTAGGAGATGGACTAGATCCCTTTCATACACTTGAAGCAGAAGTTATCCACCAGCATATGTTTGCATATCTGTACTCGCTACCAGTTTTCACACATTGTGAATCATGAACTTAGTAACGGCCACGTAATAGGTTCTCACACAGCCAACATGAGGTTGGTGGTAAAGACAAGGCCTCAGAAGTCTAAAGTTAACACAGCTCTACTTTTACGACCAGCAGAGACTGCTCAAAACGTTGCTAACAATCACAAGCACAATCACAACAACAAGGCAAACCTATAAGTAGTCATCTAATTATTTTTCTGGAGGTTTAAAACTACGACAATATTTAATGACTTTCTCTGTCTTAAGCAGAGGGTTGGGAAGTGATGCAGAATTTATCATTGGGATATGAGGTTTGTGCCAATCCTGTGGCATATGGCGGAGGTTGTGGAGGCAAGCAGGCCAGATTTAGGCCCAAACTCTTCATTCTGTGAAGTGGGATTTTGGTGGAGTCATAAAACATCAATAAGCTTCCACTTCTTTTCTGCAAATATAACAGTATTTCCTGCCACCCGAGGCTGGTGCAAACACTGAGAAAATTTGTAAATCTCCTATACAGTAAGAGCTCTAACAATGTTAACTGTTATGGAATAATATTGCTATTGATTTAATATTTAATAATATTGTTATTTTATTTATTTATAATATTGCCATTATTTATCTTTTTCTTACTCATAATCAAACACAACTCAGAATCAGAGAAAATATTTTTCCCAGAAACGTTTTCACTTTGCGTACCTATGACCAGCAGAGACTGCTCAAATTGTGAACTTACTAATACGTCCAAAGTCCCATGTCATGGAAATATTCTCAGGATTTGTCACCGCTCATTGTTTCTCCCTCGTGGGCCATGACTACTCCTCATTGCTGTCCAAGTGGGACTCAGAGTTCCTTTCCACTTGGTCTGCAGGGTCTTCAAAGGCGTCCTTAGAAAAAGATTAATTCCAGTATGTCTTAGGCATAATCATTTGATTTTATTCCACTATGCCCAAGAGTTAAGATGTTTCTAATTGGCCTGGCGTGGTGGCTCAAGCCTGTAATCCCAGTACTTTGGGAGGCCGAGGCGGGTGGATCAGGAGGTCAGGAGATCGAGACCATCATGGCTAACACAGTGAAACCCCGTCTCTACTAAAAATACACACACAAAAAAATGAGCCGGGCATGGTGGCGGGCGCCTGTAGTCCCAGCTACTCGGGAGGCTGAGGCAGGAGAATGGGGTGAACCCGGGAGGCGGAGCTTGCAGTGAGCCGAGATCGCGCCACTGTACTCCAGCCTGAGTGACAGAGCGAGACTCTGTCTCAAAAAAAAAAAAAAAAAAAAAAAAAAGATGTTTCTAATTTTTTTCCTATTGGATCAAGTAAGCTATGTCCCAGTGTATAAATCTCACTTATTACACATAAATAAACTTAAAATATGATTGAAATCTCTGCATGTGGTTTCCACTGCGTCAGACAGAAGTTTGGAGACAGAAGTGGTTGAATACAGGTCAGACGAATCATACACCCTTCGCCCTTCGCCCTCCCCATCTTAGAGGTCGGATGTGGTGCTTCGGGGCTTTCCACATGTCTGAAACGTCTGACATGGAAGTGGTTTTTTAAAATAAACTTCTTATAACTCTGCTTTATTTTACGTTTACAGAAAAATTGAGAAAGCAGTACTGGAATCCCACGAGCCCCACACCGCTTTCTGCTGCTGTGATTGTTTTCCCTGGTGTGGTGCGTCTGCCTCAGTCATAGAAGCAGTGTTGGTAGTCAGCATCGTGGAGGCGGTGTTGATAATCAGCATCAGCTCAGGGCGTCCTCCATCTGTGTCCCCTCAGTCTTCCCTCCTGCCCAGGATCCCACGTAACACAGTCCTCACGTCTCCGCAGCTTCCTCTGCTCTGTGACAGTTTGACGTGCTCTTTTTGAAGAATGTGTTTAAGATTCTTCTTAATTATTCCAAAAGCCCATTACCTAAAGTGGAATTCTAAATCTCCCTTTAAGAAATAAATAGCCAGGCACAGTGGCTCATGCCTGTGATCCCAGCACCCTGGGAGGCTGAAGCAGGCTGGGTTCACTTAAGCCCAGGGGTCCAAGACCCACCTGGGCAACATAGTGAGGCCTTATCTCTACAAAATAAAAATTGACAAGATATTGTGGTGTAGGCTGTTGAGGCCGTGGCCCCAACTACTCAGGAGGCTGAGGTGGGAGGACGGCTTGAGCCCCAGGAGGTGGAGCCTGCAGTGAGCCAGGATCGCACCACTGTACTCCAGCCTGGGTAGCAGAGCAAGACCTTGTCTCAGAAATAAATAAGAAAGGAAAGAAAGAAAGAAGGAAAGAAAGAAAAGAAAGAAAGGAAGGAAGGAAGGAAGGAAGGAAGGAAGGAAGGAAAGAAAGAAAGAAAGAAAGAAAGAGAAAGAAACAAAGAAACAAAGAAAAACGTGAGTCCCATCTGACTTTGTTTTGTAAAGCAGACACGTATCTATAACCCTTGTTGTGGTTGTTTAAGTTACAGAGCAGCGATGATCCTCCTGGGTGAGGAGCAGGGTCCTCCCGGGTGAGGAGCAGAGTCCTCTGTCTTCCTGGGTGAGAATCGGGGTCCTCACTGTCCTCCCGGGTGGGGAGCGGGGTCCTCTCTGTCCTCCCGGGTGGGGAGCGGGGTCCTCTCTGTCCTCCCGGGTGGGGAGCGGGGTCCTCTCTGCAGCTCCTCCTGTCTCCGTCTCCCCCCTTTCCTCCTCTCCTGCTTTCACGTGCTCCTCTTCTTCCCTGCTTCTCTCCTCTTCCTTCTTTTCTTCTCCCTGCCTCACCCTTTGTCTGACTTGCCCCTTCTCAGGAGTGCATATCCTCACACAATCTCCACCACAAGCATGTTCTGCCATTTCAGAATTTTTTTTTTTAGCCAAATCTTCAAAATTCCATAAACTTTGGTTTCCTTGAGTCAAAAATGTAGAAGCTTCTAATACTCATTGTGATAATTAGTACTGAGTGCCAACTTGACTGGAATCAAGGACACAAAGTGTTGCCTGGCTGTGTCCGTGAGGGTGTTGCCAGAGGAGATTAATACTTGAGTCAGTGGGCTGGGAGAGGCAGACCCACCCTCGGTCTGGGTGGGCACCATCTAATCAGCTGCTGGCTTGGCTAGGATAAAAGCAGGCAGAGGAACATGGAAAGAGGACTGGCTGAGTCTTCCTGCCTCTATTTTTCTCCCATGCTGGCTGCTTCCTGCCCTCAAACATCAGACTCCAAGTTCTTCAGCTTTTGGACCCTTGGACCTCGGACTTACACCAGTGGTTTGCCAGGGGCTCTCGGGCCTTTGGCCACAGACCAAAGGCTGCACTGTCAGCTTCCCTACTTTTGAGGTTTTGGGACTTGGTTTGGCTCCCTTGCTCCTCAGCTTGCAGACGGCCTATTATGGGACTTCACCTTGTGATGGTGTGAGTGAATTCTCCTAATAAACTCCCTTTCATGTATACATCTCTCCTACTAGTCCTCTAGAGAACCCTGACTAATGCACTCAACCTTGGCGAGTTATCGAGAGAATTAAGTCAAATAACAGAATCAAAAGACTGACTCATGTCAGGAGCTGAGAAATCCAGTTCCTTCTCTCATTCATGCTCAGATTCCCTCATCTCCTGCAGCACCAAAGGCATGGCGGGCTCACCCTGTAGCACACAGGTAAATTACAATTACATGATCTTATGCTGCCCACTGAATCTGGCAAAGGCTTAAACTTATACCCCACTTTTTCTGTCTTCACTGCCCCCTCCCATGTATATCCCTCTATGACACTTCATTTCTGCTTACATCCTGAAACTCTCAGCTAGCAATTGTCTTCCTTGCCTCAGTTTCTCCCTTGTGACAAGCATGCCCTGAGCCTCCTCCAGGTTCCCTTCCTTCCCATTATTGGGTGCGCTCCTGCTTAGCGCCTTATCCCAGCTGCTCCTCACACCCTCGCCTTCTTCCAGATAGATCTTCCTCCTCTGCACAGATCCTCCCGGCTTCTCATCTGTTCTGAAAGTCAGCACGATTCCACGATCCTCAAATCACATTGCACACCAAGGACCCCGATGCTCACCTATTGCCTGGAACATTCACCTTGCCCCACCACCCTCTTGTTCCTGCCTATCCAGCGTGGATTTCCTTACAGCACTGGCCTAGAACAAAATCAACCTGCAACTTTCAGTAATTCCATTTCTTCTGACTCAATGAAAACATGGATGGGGCTCTGTCTTCCCCCAGGACAGGCCCCTCCTGCACTTGGATGGCTTTGCACACTTCCCAATGTCCTGTCACGTTGAGTTTGCTTCAACTTCTATTTGTTCAATGAAATCAGTTTAACATTTTCGGAAAACATTCCTACATTCCACACCCGGTGCTGAGGGTAGGATCTCTGCTGAAAGCCACACCGGCTCAGGTCACCTGCTGAAAGCCACACCTGCTCAAGTCACCTGCTGAAAGCCACACCTGCTCAGGTCACCTGCTGAAAGTCACACCTGCTCAGGCCCACCTGCTGAAAGCCACACCTGCTCAGGTCACCTGCTGAAAGCCACACCTGCTCAGGTCACCTGCTGAAAGTCACACCTGCTCAGGCCCACCTGCTGAAAGCCACACCTGCTCAGGCCACCTGCTGAAAGCCACACCTGCTCAGGTCACCTGCTGAAAGCCACACCTGCTCAGGTCACCTGCTGAAAGCCACACCTGCTCAGGTCACCTGCTGAAAGTCACACCTGCTCAGGTCACCTGCTGAAAGCCACACCTGCTCAGGTCACCTGCT